TCAATAGTATGTGCAGGCTGGGGCCTCCGGAGCTGGCGATGAGGGGATAACCTAACCGGTGTCCTTGTCATGCTGGTGTAATTAGGGTGTGACTAACAGCTTTATGGCTGCTCTTGACAATCTTCCAGCTGTTCAGCTTAACTCCTGCCTGCAAGGCAAGGCAGTCTCTGCTGCCTGCCAGACAGGCTCCCTGCCTGCCCACAGCATCCCTGAGAGGAAGTGGGCATGCAGAGGGAGACAGCTCTGCAGGGACTGAATTCCAGGATGAGGGGTTTGATGCCACAGCCCAGCCCTTGAGGCAAACAAAGTGACTGGGAAATGGTCATGTTTGTGACAAGGAGGTGGTTTTAGTTGTTGTCTGAAGGAGCTGACCTCATGTTTTCACCTGGAGAAAACATGCTTTTCCCGGTAGAGTGGGAGGAACAGCCTCAGCTTCAGGGCTGAGCACTGCTGGTTTGCCTCCGGGGGGGGGAGGAGGGGGCAGGAAAACAGGCTGCCTTTGAGAGGTGGAGACCGGCTCCTGTTTGGGTTTGTCACCCACCAGTGGGAGCTGGAGAGGAGCCCAGGCTGGAGCTGCCAGGCTGGCAGAGGAGCTGGGCTCTTCTGGGCAGCTTCTGTCAGCTTCAGGGGTCACAGCCGCTCCAGAAGTGGGTCCAGAGCATCCCACTGTGGCTCATGGGGATGGGACAAACATGGCCCAAAGAGGAACCTCTGCCCTAGACATTACCGGCATAAATGCCCCATAATGGTGTTTACCACACCCCGTGTGGGTGGGGGGGGTCTAAAAATAGGGGATGAGCTGGCTTAGATGGTTTGGCTGTTGTGCCTGGGACAAGGTGTGACTGCCCAGCAGCTTCCAAAGTTCAGGATGGGAGGGGGAGTTGTTAATTTTATTTGGCTGCCATAAATCTGAGTGGTGAGGGGTGTGGGCTTGCTGCTGGTGCTGGGCTCAGTGATGGGAAGGAGTTTCATGGCAGCTGCCCCTCTTCACAGGAGAGATCAAATCGAGTCCGTCTGAAAGCCCCTTGATGGAGAAGAACGTTGGCCCAAAGGAGGAGCAAGAGGAGGCCAAGGTGCCCCTGGGCGATGCCAAGGGCCCTGTTGCTGATGTGGGGTCGGCCATGCCCACCCGGGCAGCGGTGGAGGAGAGGATGGTCTCCTTCAACCTGGGGGAGCTGGAGGAGGCCCCAGAGCAGGAGAGGCTTCCCAGCCTCGACCTGAAGGAGACAAGCATTGACAGTGGTGAGTAGTGGGGGGTGATATGAGTGGCGGGACTCCCCCCACCCTAGGCACCCCTGGGTGTTAACCCCCCACCTGTTGTCCCCCCCGGCAGGAGCTGTGCGGCTGCCCAATGGCAACCTGGTCCACCTGAGCCAGGCAGTGGGCCACCAGCTGGGCTCAGGTGGGCAGTACCAGTACCACACCGTGCACAAGGACTCTGGCCTCTACAAGGAGCTGCTGCACAAACTACACCTGGCCAAGATGGGGGACTGCATGGGAGACTCGGGGGACAAGCCCCTGCGGCGCAATAACAGCTACACCTCCTACACCATGGCCATCTGCGGCATGCCCCTGGACTCGCTGCGTGCCAGGGATGGCGAGGAGGGGGAGAGGCTGAGCTGGTCTGTGGTGGACACTAAGAAGAGAGTCCGCATGGACAGCTACACCAGCTACTGCAATGCAGTGGCAGACACCCACCCAGCTGTAGATGTGGACCTGAACACGGCCCAGGCAGAGCTGGGTGTCAGTGACCGCAAAGGCAGCAGCAGCTCTCTGGAAGAGTGGCACGACCAGGACAAGCCTGAGGTGTCCCTGCTCTTCCAGTTCCTGCAGATCCTCACGGCCTGCTTTGGCTCCTTTGCTCATGGTGGCAATGATGTCAGGTCAGTGGGGTCAGCGGGAGCTGAGGGGGCTGCTGGCTGGGGCTAGTGCCCACAGAATCATGGAATCGGAATGGTTTGGGTTGGAAGGGAGCTTAAAGATGATCTTGTTTCAACCCCCCTGCCATGGGCAGGGACACCTTCCACTAGACCAGGTTGATCCAAGCCCTGTCCAGCCTGACCTTGAACACTTCCAGGGATATTCTGTCTTGCAGACAGCCTCTGTCCCTCTAGACCAGATCCTCTTTCTCTTCCAGCAATGCCATAGGGCCCCTGGTCGCACTCTACCTGGTCTATCAGACGGGCGATGTGGCTACCAAGGTGGCAACTCCCATCTGGCTGCTGCTCTATGGGGGTGCGGGGATTTGCATCGGCTTATGGGTCTGGGGAAGGAGAGTCATCCAGACAATGGGGAAGGACCTGACTCCCATCACACCATCCAGGTAAGGGGTGCCATGAAGCAGAGGGGAGGCTCCAGGCAGCCTGAGAGCTGCATCCTGTTCCAGGAGCCCCTCTCCCTTCTCTGAGGGGTTTCAATGGTGAAGCAGGGGCATGTGTGGCTCCGACACCTCCCTGCATCCTGGAAGGGGGTTGGTCTGAGTGTCTGGAGAGCCAAGCCAGGGGCTGACACTGCTGTGCTGCCTTGAGCTGAGCCCACTGGGTGTTTTGGGGTGTCTGGTTCTGTTCTCATCTGCTTTCTGTCCCTGCAGTGGCTTCAGCATCGAACTGGCATCGGCGCTGACAGTGGTGATTGCCTCCAATGTTGGCCTCCCCATCAGCACGACTCACTGCAAGGTAGGGGGGTTGGCAGGGGAGATGGTGCTGGCTCAGTGCGAGCTCAGCGTCCCCAAAACTTAGTGCTCGTAGGGCCAAGCTGTGTGGGGGGTCCCGCTCTGGGCCTCCAGCCACTGTCAGCTCCTGGCTATGCCGCTTGCATCTCAATGTGAGGCAGCAGCGGCTGCCTGGGCTGGGGGGGGGCATCCCTGGTGCACTTGGAAGGTGATGGGAAAACAAAACGCCTTTCATGGTCCCCTGGGCTCTGCCAAGAGGCCGTGGGAACCCAAGTGCTGCAGGGCCCTGTCCCTAACACCCCTCTGGGGTGGTAGCTCCTTGCCCTGCACTCCCTGCCTGCACTCTGTGAGGTCCCTACAGGCTGGAGCAGGACCCAGGGCTGTGGGGTGCATGTCAGGTGAAGGTGTGCACGTCAGGTGGGTGCAGACCCTCACTGCGGTGCTGAGCCATGCTTTGGCTCCTTTGGCAGGTGGGCTCAGTGGTCTCAGTGGGCTGGCTGCGCTCCAGGAAGGCAGTGGACTGGCGCCTCTTCCGCAACATCTTCATGGCCTGGTTTGTCACCGTCCCCATCTCCGGCCTCATTAGCGCTGCCATCATGGCCGTCTTCAGGTTTGCTGTCCTGAAGGTACCCCTGTGAGGGCACCAGGGCTCCCACTGCTCCTGCTTCCCACTGCTGCCCTGCCTCCAGGAGCCACCGAAGCTGCCTGCTGTGGGGTGGGGCTCCCCCATGTCTGCCTAGTGCTGTCACTGAAGTATCTTTTTTAATATAAAATGTCTTGGCGCTAACATTGTGGGGGGTGCACCACCGTGGCTGTACATGCCCCCAGGTGGCCCCTCTGCTCCGCTGTAGCTGTAGATTAGCAGTTACCGCGGGCCACTTTTTCACTTCTAATGACTTTAATGAAGATCCTCCGGCAGTGATTCCTTGGGGGAAGGATGTAGGTTGGTCCTTGCCCTCCGTGTGAGGGGAGGGCTGGGGGGTGGTGGGGCACCCCCCTCACAGGCTGTGCTGTGTTCAGCTTTGCCTCCATTGCTGTAGTGGTGCAGACACCATCGTGCTCGGGGACGCCATCCTGCGCGGGGGTCCTGGGGGCTGCCCTTTGGCCCCATCACTGCTGCTACCTCGGACTCAATAAAGATTTCCTTCGTATGCCAGCAGTGCCTGTGGTTCTGGGGAGTGAGGGTGCTGGGGTGGCTGCTGCCTCATGGCCCTGCCTGCCTTGGCCTCGTGCCCCCGGAGCGAACTGGGAATGATGATAAGAGCCCCACGTGCCCTCTGTGTCATGAGATGGGCTGTAAACAGCCTCGGGGGGGAGGGGGTTATCGGGGCCCAACACCTGGGGCAGTTCCTGTCCCTGTCACCAGCCCCGTGGTGTGCATGTGCCCCCTCCTCAGCCCGGGGCAACGACTGCTCCAACGCCCTCCTACATGTGCCCGGGGATGCTCCCTCCTGCCTGGGTCAAGGCCGGTCCCGGGGATCCGCGTCAGCAGCCCCGGCGTGTCGCAAGAAGTGGGGTGAAAAGGCGGGTGGTGCTGAGGGATGGGGATGGGTCCGTGGGGGACGCACGTGGGGTTCGGGAGGTGCCTTATGTGCTGCGTGGGACGCGAGCCACGAAGCCCCGGACCGGGGGTCGTTTTGTCCCAGGGGACGTGGGTGTTTTCCCTGCTGTCCCGACGGCCCTCGTGTGAGGCGGGGCGCCCCTCGCGCGGCCCGCTCACGCCTTGACGGGCGCGCGGCGTCCATCGGGCCGGCGGGGGCGGCAGGCGGGTTCCCGACCACCCCGTTAATGATTCGCCGCGCGGTCGCTCCCGCTCTGCCAGTGCGTCTCTGAGCAAACACTGGCCTGGGCTCCGAGAGCTGCGGGCGGGGGGGCGGCGGGGAGCAGCGCTGGGGGACACTGGCTGGGGAGGGGGGCCCCGTTAAGGGGTGCGGGGGGCACTGCCCTGTGTGGGGGCGCGCGTGGGGAGGTGTCACTGCCCCAGGGAGGGGGCATGGAGGAGTCACCGCCCCATTTGGGGTCACCTCCGGGGTTCCCCGGGTTCGTCCCGGCTGTGCTGCCCGGGGGGGCCGGGCCGGGGGCCGGGGCGGGGCGGTCCTGCGGGGCCCCTTAAAGCGGCGGCGGCCGCGGGCGGTGGCCGGAGGCGGTGGCGATGGGCAGCGAGGGGAGCGAGGCCGGGCGGCGGCCCCGAGCCCGGGGCAGGGCGACCCGCGGGCGTGCCGGAGGGACTGCCAGCACCGGTGGGCGGGAGGGGGCTGGGGGAGCGGGGGGCTGGGGGTGCAGCAAGCACTTGAGGCTCCTTGGAGAGAGTTGGGAGGGGACAAGTTGGGAGGGCACATGGAGGGGGGGAGGCAAGACCCAAGGGAAGGGCACTGGGGTTCAGGTACGGGAGAGGAATCTTGGGGGGAGTCAGGAAGGGAGCGGAGCCCCTGGGGGTCACCCCACGTAGACATATCAGGTGTGGGGGCAGGCCAAAACAGGGGCCCACAGTCCCCCTCCCACGCATCCCCCTTCCTGCCCCCCCCAGCTTCATTTCCATCTCAAAAGCCCATTTTTCTGCTCCAATAACTCGCTATGGGGCCCTTGAGCTGGGGCAGGCACACGACCCTCACAGAGCACTGACCAGGGACCAGGATGGGGGAACACATCCCCATCCCCTCCTTTGTGCCATCCCCAGCCCTAAACACCCCCTCTTCCCCATAACTCCTCCCCCCACCCGATTACCCCCAGGATCTTTGTCAACCGGAGCCTGGCGCTGGAGAAGATCAAGTGCTTTGGCTTTGACATGGACTACACCTTGGCCAGTGCGTTTTTGGGGAACCTAAGACAGGGTGGGGCAGTGGTGGGACCCCCCCCCAAGGCCCTGTCCACATCCCTTCTGACTCCCTACAGTGTACAAGTCCCCTGACTACGAGGAGCTGGCTTTTGCCCTGTTGCTGGAGCACCTTGTCGCCATTGGGTACCCCCCCGAGATCCTCGCCTACAAGTATGACCCCACGTTCCCCACTCGGTGAGTTTGGGGAGGGGGTCTGGGGGAAGAGGGGTGAGATCCCCACCCATTGACAGCTGTGTGTTGCAGGGGGCTGGTGTTCGATGCCCTGTATGGGAATCTGTTGAAGGTGGATTCCCATGGGAACCTGCTAGTCTGTGCCCATGGCTTCCGCTTCCTCAAGGGGTGAGTTTGGAAATCCCCCGCCTCAGGGGCAGGGGGGAGCAGAGGGACCCTTGGAGTGGGGTGCAGCTCCGTGCTCCCTCCCCAGAGCCGAAATCCTCCACTATTACCCCAATAAGTTTATCCAGCGGGATGACATGAAGCGCTTCCACATCCTCAACACGCTCTTCAACCTCACGGGTGAGAGACAACCCGTCTCCCTCATACCCCCACCACCTTGGGGTGCTGTCCTGTCCTGCACCCCCTCTCACATATCCCTCCCACACAGAGGCCCACCTCTATGCCTGTCTTGTGGACTTCTTCACCAACTGCTCCAGATACGTAAAGTAAGAGGGAGGTGATGGGTGGGGGCTTGCTGGTGGATCAGATGGCGGGGGGTAATCTTGCAGAGGAGCTTTGCTTGGCAGGGCAGCCCCTTCACCCCCTCCATTCCTGATTGTTGCAGCTGTGATACCGGCTACAAACACGGGAACCTCTTCATGTCCTTCCGCAGCATGTTCCAGGATGTGCGTGAGGCCATGGACCACGTCCACCTCTCTGTGGGTGCAGTGGGCAGGGGGCTGGTGGGAGGGGGGTTATGGGAGTGCTGGAGATTCCCCACAAACACCCTGGGAGGTTTTGGCCAGCCCCCTCCCTTCACTCTGTAGGGCTGTCTGAAGGAGAAGACGCTGGAGAACCTGGAGAAATACGTGGTGAAAGACGTATGTGCAGACCCTCATGGACCCCTCACTACCCTGCTCCCCTTTGCCAGTTCCCCTTGGTCCCCCCAAGCCCACTCCATGATGATTTGTCCCTCACCAGCCCCGTGTGCCACTGCTGCTGAGCCGCATGAAGGAGGTGGGGAAGGTCTTCCTGGCCACCAACAGTGACTATACATACACAGATGTGAGTAAGGGGTGTCCATGTGCTCCCCCTGCCAGGCCCAGCTTGCCCTTGATGGGGGTGGCAGAGGGGAGGGTGTCAAAGCGCAGTCAGTGTCTGCCTTCCCTGGGGATGGGTGACAGTGCTGGATGTCCTTGCAGGCCATCATGTCCTACCTGTTTGACTTCAGAGATGGGGACAAGGTGAGTCTCTCCCCAGTGTGGGCAGAGTGGGGGGCTCAGGGTGCCATCAGCAACCTCTTGCTGACCCCCCCCTCCCTGGCATCCACAGGCGGACACCCCGCAGCGCCCCTGGAGGTCTTATTTTGACCTGATTGTGGTGGACACCCGCAAGCCCCTCTTCTTCGCTGAGGGCACCGTCCTGCGCCAAGTCGACACGGTGGGGACCCCTCCCCCGTTGTGGGGCCAGTTGGGGCAGTGGGCACTATTTGAGCACTATGGGGGCTCCTGTGGGCAGAGCAGGGTAGATTCACCATTGGGTGGGCACCAAGTGGACGCAGATAACGGTGTTCCTATCCCAGAGTCCTCTTGTCCCGTAGGACACAGGGAAGCTGCGCATTGGGACGTACACCGGCCCCCTCCAGCACTGCACCGTCTACTCTGGCGGTAAGTGCCAGGCCAGGCTCCAGTCAGGGGGGGACATGCCCATGCCCCTGCCCTGACCCTTGGCTGTCACAGGCTCCTCAGATGTGGTGTGTGACCTCCTGGGCGTGAAAGGCAAAGACATCCTTTACATGGGGGACCACATCTTCGGGGACATCCTCAAGTCCAAGAAGCGGCAGGGGTGGCGCACCTTCCTGGTGGTGCCTGAGCTGGCCCGTGAGCTGCAGGTCTGGACAGAGAAGAGCGGTGAGCAATGCCTGGCTGGGGACACGGACCCTGCCCTGCTGGTGGATGTGGCCTGGAGCCTCCTATACCTCTCGATGGCAAAACCGCCCCAGCGGGCTGTGCCCTGACCCTCTGGGTCAGTCATGCTGGGCAGTGGGGGATGTTCCTGCACTGAGCCAGCCACGTTGACCTTGCAGAGCTGTTTGAGGAGCTGCGGAGCCTCGATCTCTTCCTGGCCGAGCTGTACCAGTGAGTTGGGTGAGGGGAGTAGGGAGGGGTGGGAACACCTGTGGGGGATCTCCCAGGTGAGCCTCCAGCCGGATCTGTCCTGTTCCAGGCACTTGGACAGTGGCAGCAGCGAGCGCCCAGACATTAGCTCCATCAAGCGTCGGATCCAGGTGACACTCAGGACACCATCCCAGCTGGCACACAACTCAGTCCCACTCCCCTCCAACGACTTCCCCCTTGGGCACCCCGGGGGGCATTGGGTGCCCTGACTGTCTTGCTGCACCCCCAGAAAGTCACACATGAGATGGACATGTGCTACGGGAAGATGGGCAGCCTCTTCCGCTGCGGCTCACGCCAGACGCTCTTCGCCAACCAGTTGATGCGCTACGCAGACCTCTATGCCGCCTCCTTCATCAACTTCCTCTACTACCCCTTCAGCTACCTCTTCCGGGCACCCCCTGTCCTGGTACGCAGCCCCCAACCCCCCCTGCTCACCTACTATGCCTCAGTTTCCCTCTCTACCTGAGGGGGTCATGGGGCTGATGGAAGCATTGGGTGGGCACCCAACCCAGCCTGTGCTAGACTCTCTCTGGGAGCCTTGTCCCCCCCGCAGATGGCACATGAGTCAACAGTGGAGCACACTCGGCTGGACTCGGGGGAGGTTGGCACAGCCCTGCCCCCCTGGCTGGCCCGGCATAGCCACCCTGGCCAGCAGGTGGGTGGCAGGGAACAGAGAGGCAGAAGGACATGGGTGTCCTGCCACGCTGATGCCCGTGAGGTCCTGTGCCCACTGAGCCCTCTCACTGTCTCAGGTCCCCCAAGACTCCAGCGGGGAGGAGGAGGATGATGGAGAAGCCTGAGCCCACCCCAGCACTAATGGCTGCTGCTCTGGCAGGTGCCAGCCCCACAGGAGGGCATTTGATGGCCCTGGACCACTTGCACTGCCAGACCAAAGCCACCCATGGTCAGCTGCCACCTTTGATGGCCACAGGATGATTGGTGGCCCTGCCCATGGCCCCCATCACACCTGTCCTTAGGCTGTGGGGCCCTTCTCTCGACTGTGCCTGGAGCCAGGAGAGGGCCCCCCCAATTCTGCTGGCTGCCCTGTGCCCCCACTTTAACTAACATCCTTCCTGCCAGCTCAATGGCAGTCTGGGGCCACCCAATGCCAGGGTGAGCGGGCAGTGTTGCTGCTCCGGTATCACTGGAGGCCCGCTGCACCAGTCAGGGCCCCTGCAGCTCCTGTCCCTCCAGCCTCTCCACTGTGGCCCTGGGTGCAGGGGGAGGCTCCGGAGGTGACAGCTGCTCTGTGGGAACTCCCTTCACCTGCTGTTCCTCTCTTCTGTTTGCTACCCTTTTCTATTTATAAAAGATACTCAAACTCCTGGCACCACAGAGACATAAAATTGGCTGTTTTAAAGGAAAACTGCTTTGTCCCTGCACCTGGGAGGTGGGGGCAAAGGGCAATTCCCAGCAGCTGGGACAAGCACGAGCCCCTGGGCAGAAGGTGGCAGCCCCGGGTCACCTCTCCTCTGCAGAGGAGGGAGCTAGGCAAGCAGTGCTCCCCAGAGTGGAGCCAAGCCCCATGCCAGAACTCCAGGACACTGCTCCAAGACTTCTTCTGGCATCCAGGACTCAGTAGAGACACTGAGCCAAGACCAGGGGTGGGTGTGTCGGGAGGGAAAGAGGAGGCAAAAGCGTGGGATGGGGTCAGGACCACTGCTTACTGGGGTCGGGCAGGTGACAGTGGGGCTCCCCAAATCCTCTACAGCAGCTGTACAGTCACTGCTTGCAGCAGGGACCCCTTGCCCACCCTAGAGCCAACCCCTTGCCTGGTACCTTGTGCTACTGCCTGCTCCAGCCGCAAGGACAGCACCAGAGGGGCCCTGAGTGCATGTACAGGGCTCATCTGCACTCACTGGCCCATCCTGCACCCCAACCATGCCCAGGAGTTTGGGGGCCTGGCCTGCTGCACCCCAAGGTCCTCTGCACCACTTTGGGTGCTGCTGTCAGCCTGCACAGAAGCTGCTGGAGTGTTGCAGGTCTTCCAGCCCCTCAGGCAGAGCTAGTACTTCTGCCCATGCCTCTGGACCTTGGTCTGCATGTGCCTCTCAGCAGGGACATCCAGATGCTGTCCAGGTATGGCACAAGGCAGCTCCAGAGCAAATCCTTTGGGACGTCACTTCCAAAACACTGAGAGGTGCTTGGAATGTTGCAGTCTGGCTGATACCATCCTACAGCAGGAAAATTAGGCAGAGGAGCTGAGGACAGTCCTGGGGGACGCAGTCTTCTACACTGCTCACTAGGCCACACACATCTCTACTGCAAGTCTTTAATATATTTAAAACAGCACTTAGATATTTCAAACAAGCTTATTCTGTGCCACCTCCTCATGCTTACACCCGAGGGGCAGCAAGAGAAGCCAGTGGAGTGTGTGCAAGGCAGCACAGGGGGCAGGTGGACTGGCTCCACCAGGAACCCCTTAGCAGCTCTCAGGGGTGTATGAACTCAAACCCTCCAGCCCCGTCACCTCTGGCAAAGCCTTGTTTTTCTGGAAGATGAACTGAGTCTCCTCTTCAGCATCCAGGATTTCACTGAGGGATGACACCACAGGGTCATGGTCCTTCAGCATCTCTGGGTAGTGGCTCCCAGCCCGCTCAACCCGCAGCGAGCGCCGCACGGGCGTCAGGAATTTCAATTCCGGGCCTTTCGGGAACTCTCTTCGTCTGTGGAGAGGACAAGAGCCTTGGGTAAACCCTGTGGAGGAGCACTGGCATGGAGGGTGCATGTTGCCAGGACCAGGGGGTTCAGCCTTACCTGGATGCAGATGTGACCCGTAACTTGACTGAGAGAGGTAGGGAGGTCAGGGGCCTCCCCACTGGGCCTGGAGTCGATGCTACGGGCTCCCTCTCACCTGGACAAGGTGTTGTAGGCTCCCAAGGAATGGGTTGCTCAGCCTTTTCCCCTGGCAAGAGAGGAAAAGGGCAATGCAGTTGCAGAGAGTGCCAGCTGGGGAGGAATAACACTGTGGTGTTTCAGACACAGGCCTGGCTGTGGAGGTGTGCCGGGGCCAGGACCCTCCCCAGCCCTGGCAGAGGAACATTGCCCCATTATTGGGATCAGGATTCCAGACTTTCAAAACAATCTCCATCAAAGTCAAGAGGGACATGGGGTGCTGGGACAGACTGCAGAACGTGCTGTTTCCCAGATGGCAGCAGCAGGGAGCCTTGGCTTGCCCACACTCCAGACGGCTCCCCATGTTCAGGTTACCTTCTGATGTATGGCCTGCAGCCTTCAAAATATCAAGAACATCCCTGAGCTCCTGGAGTGGCTGCAGGAAAAGCAGAACATGGGTCAGGGCAGGTCTGGTATGGCAATAGAGACCAGAGTTATAGCTGAATAGGGGGAAAGGCTTCTGCTGCATCACAACAGCAGTGTGATATGTCAGCACCCAGCACAGCTGGGCAAGTGCCCACCCTGCCCATGGAACAGGGACCAGCATCTCTAAAGGGCTTTTTCACCACTTATTAGTGCTGCTAAGCTCATCCCAAAATCCAGCCCCTGGGATCTCAAGGAAGCCCACCCATTCTGAGGCAGGGACCATAGGGAGCTGGTGAGCCCCACGCACCTGAGCGCCTGCGCAGACTGCTGCTCTGTACAGCCCCATCACATCAAAGGGGCCGCTCCGGGCCAGCAGCTTTGCTTGGCAGATCCAGAATTTGGCAAATTTCTCTGCCTGGGGCACAACAGACAGCACTTTTGATAGCTCCTCTGCATGGACACCCTGCAAGGAGAAGGGCAAGGACCTGGTAAAAGGTGTCCACTGCGAGGACAAGGGTATGCACTGGGAGCTGTCAGTACCTGACCGTGCTTCCAGCACTCTTCAGGAAAAAGGTCTCAGGAGTCTGGGTTTACAAGTCTCCTACGTAACAACGGGCTGTCCTCCCTCTATCTTCCCCTTGGATAAATGAGTCTAGTACTCCAAAGAGCTGTTAAGGGATAGACTCCAGTGCTGGCATTATTGGAGCCACTAAATCCTGGAGCAGAGCTAGCAGTCAGTGTTCCCAGCAACAGTCCCCCACCAGAACCATACCTCAGACTGTGACACCAACAGGGATCTACTTCAAGTTGGTTCAATCAGCCTGGGTTTCTGTTGCAGACATTGCTTTTGCAGACTGCACTGCCAGTTTCCAGAACACCGACAGTTACACAAGTGAGTCCCACACTGCTTTTGGTTGGGGTAGAGTTAATTTCCTTCCCAGTGGCTGGTATGAGGCTGTGTTTGGGATTTGTGCTGAACACAGTGATGATAAAGATGTTTTTGTTATTGCTGAGCAAGACTTACACAGAACCAAGGCCTTTTCTGTTAATCATACTGCCTCGCTGTGGAGCTCGGGGTGCGTGGGAGATTGGGAAGAGACACAGCTGGGACAGGTGACCCAAACTAACCAAAGGGATATTCCAGACGATATGCTCAGTATGTAAAGTGGAGGGACATTTGGAGTGATGTTGTCTGTCTTCCCAAGTCCCCATTATGTGTGACGGGGCCTTGCTCTCCTGGAGGTGGCTGAATCTGCCCATGGGAAGAAGGGAGTAAATTCCTTGTTTCGCTTTGCTTGTGTGCACAGCTTTCACTTTCCCTGTTAAACTGTCTTTATCTCAATCCACAAGTTCTGTAACTTTTACCCTTCCGATTCTCTTTCTGATCCCACTGGTGGGGGAATGAGTGAGTGGCTGTGAGGGGCTTGGCTGCTGGCTGGGGTTAAACCACAACAGTCCCTTTTGATGGGGTACCTCTCCATTTTCCCTGTCAGTGTAGCTCACCATGTGCCTTTGACCTACCCATAACTCCATGAGGACTTTTATCTTCCCTACCCATGTTTCCCTTCTAGCAACTGAATGCTTGCTCCCAACCCCTCTGTGCTGTGAAGGTACATGGTCCACAGCCCCTGGGATGCTCCAGGGGAGGAGGAGCCTGTTCAAGCAGTCTCTTTCCCATTCCCACCTCCTCAACAAAGTTCAGGCACTCAGTTAATATGTTGTCGATCTTCACCAGGCAGCGCTGCTCTGGATTCTCTTGCTTCTCTTTCGCCTTGACCTTTCTGCAGGGCGGCTTCACTGCCTGTTTCTGAAGCAGCGTCATTGGTGGCCGCTTGTATTTCTTGCCTTTCGATGCCAACCACTCCTCCAGCTGTTTCCTGTCCAAGGACCAAAGTATCACCTTGGTTACCATCTCAGCAGGCAGCCAGCTCTTGCCAAGATACTGTTTTTTCTATAGAATCCCCTGTTAGCTGACTTCAGCTGCTCAGGAAGAACTGGTACATTTATCCCAAAAACACATCTGAGCTCTAGGCTGGGAAAGGAAAACCCTCACAAGTGTAAGCCTTGAGGCTAAAACAGAATGGCCACACACTCTCCTCCCACTCACTGAATTGGTGGGAGAGGAACTCAGGGCCCCACCCAACATCTTTCCCAACTCTCTCTTTTCCAGGGCAGCAACCTCCCAACAAGCCTTCACTGATAGAGACTTCAGACCCCATTTTCAGCAGGATGGTGCTGGCTCACCCAGTCAAACCCTTATACTCTGCTGTTCCCTGGAAGACCCAGGTGACCAACGTTGCCACTTACTTACGATCCGCAGCTGATGGGACCCTGGGAACACGCCCATACTGCACGATTGCCTTCGGCAGCTCCGGTTTAAGCTGATCTTTTCTACTCCTCAAATTACCCTCAAGTGCATGAGTTTTGGAGCAGTGTGTGCTGGGAGGCTGGTTTGCGTGGTCTATCCCTTGGGATGTTGCTGTGTGTCTGGGACGCACCACATTCATGTCCCTCCTGTCTGTCCCCCCTTTAATCATGGGCCTTGGCCGTGGCATGGTGCCACCTCGGTTCAGGCTGGATTTCAGGTTTGTTGTCCCCTGAGGCCTGCCTGAGGCCAGAGGCTTAGTGGAAGAACTTCTCATTGGGGGAGGTTGAAATTGGTGCTTAAAAACTCCCACTGGAGCTGTGCCAGGTGGCTTTCCCACAGGTTGCCTCACTGTAGTAGTTTTTTCCTGGTTTGTCCCTGTTTTTTTATGTAGCAAATTAGCAGAAGCAGGAAGGTACCTAGGGGGCTGCAATGGCTGAGCTCTGACACTTGTTTTTTGAGACACGCTCTTTGAGCCTGGCAGGATTTTCCTGAATTTATCTAGAACTGGGTCTTTCTTAGCCTGGCGGTTATTAATTTTGTCCTCTGGGCCCACAACGGGCCTTGACATTACAGCTGAGCTTTGCTCGTAAGCCAAGACTCTCTTCTTCCCAAGACTGCTTCCATCAAATTGGAAATCTCTGTTTAGCTCTGGGAGTGTGGAGGCTCGTGGGCTGAGGTTTTCCTTGTGACAGACCAGCCCATCCTGCAGCTCCTCATTCAGGGACCAAGGCGCTCCAGGAGGGGAGTGGTCACTTCCCACACAAAGTGCTGCAGCAGTGACAGTGTCCTGTGCAGACTTCTTCTTCCTTTCCGGATTTAGGTGACCAGAGCCTGGAGGTGGGAGCCTGCCTCTGGTCTGTGCAGAAGCAGGAAGCTTTGTGCTCTTCCCTGGCTGCACTGGATGCACCCCCACTGCTCTCTGGGATGTGTTTGAAGGCTTCTGCTGACTAGCGTGGCCAGTGTGCTGTGTGGATTTGGCACTAAGCTTGCCATCTTCCTGAGCACTCTTCATCACATTTCTGAGAACATCCCTCTTGTTCCTGTCAACCTGGAAAGACAAAGCAGCCCTCAGCTCCAAGGAGAGCTCAGCTTGGTCAGACCCTGAGAGCTGGCCCAGGGAAACAGCCATGCGATGGCCTGTGGTGACAAAGCAGTTGTCAACAGAACAGTAACACAGCACCCACCAGGACACGGGCAAAGGATCGGTCTTCTAAATTGAAACTCCTAACTAAACTAAACTAAGCTCCTCTGAAAAAATAAGTAGTTGACTCGTTGCCAGCTATTTAGCAATCTGTTGAGTGTCCTCATCTGGAGTCAGGAACTCATGACCCTGACTTGAGGATGTGGTTTGCAAAGAAAGTTACTGACCCAAATTGCAGCAAGGATGAAAAATTATTATGACTAAAGCCCACTCTCTTGTGACCCTATAAATAGAGGTCCTGAGTGAGACCCTTTGAGCCCTCCTGGACTGCAGTGGGCTATGACCACTATCTCCCTCTGAATGGGGCCTCTCAGAGCCAGCAAACTCTCACATTTACTATACTTGGAGGATCAGCAAACGAGGATGATGGAGCCTCTCCTCGAGGCTCAACCCCCCACCCACTGAGAAGATGCAAAGGCGGTGACGTGAGTCCTTCACTGAATTTGAGGGGAATTTTTCACAGGTACCTTGTACAGACTCTTTAGGCCTGTGTGCATGTGACTGTGAATATGCTACAGCAAATGTACCATGAAGGTGGGTCTCCTTGGTTCTTAAGTACTTTAGATTTGTAAGTCAATCAGGCCTGTGACTTACTGTTGTGCTACAGTAAATTCTATATGAATCCTTTGCTAAATTGTTTAACTTAACCTATTGATTAAGTGCTGTTAGAACATGTAGGCCTTAACTGTAGGTCAGGTCCTGGCCTCAGATTAGCAAGGGGGTCTGCTCTGAAACTTGTGACTCAACAGATGGGTCTTCCTTATTCCTTTTTATCCTTACCCTTTCCCATCCTTACCCTTCCCTCCTCCGGCCCAACCCCCAAGCTCAACATAGATAATTTTTAGGTTGGTTTTGTTTTAGATTGATTGATTTTAGGTTTAACCATCCAGTAAGTAGTAGACGAACCTTGCCAGTGAACTTTTTTGTGCTTTCACTTTTATATTAAACTTGCTTTTGCCAATACCTTTGATGGTGTTTCTTTAAGCAACCCTAAAACACTCATTTGCAACAGACGACCCTGTTCTGCCCAGACTCACTTCAAGCATGAAAGACTCAAAAGCTTTCTACTTACATGCTTGAGTTTAGAAACTGGTTCTAAGTGTGGATTCAGGTCATTTGTCCGATCCTTTAAAAAGGGTCTGTAAGAGTAAAAAAAGTTATCAGGTTATTTAACAAGTTATTGGGTTATTTAACAACTGATCAGGTTATTTATCAGCCATTGCAGAAAGGCTCAAATATCTAACCCACTGCTGGTTGTTTCAGACACAGGAGCTTAGGAGAAGCTTTCAGAAATCAAAAACCTGTCAAGGAAGTACCACATTCTGTAATTCTTTTTCTTTTGTGAAGCAATAGGAAAGCAAAACAGACCATTAACATCCAAGGTTGTCACAGAACTTCCACAGACAACAAAAGTAACCAAAACGGTTCATGCAGGCTAGAGTCTGGCAGGCAAGGGGTTTGGAGGCTCCTGACTTGTCCTCTGTGTGCCACAGACAGCCGAGGTCATGCTGCTGCCACGCTGCAGGTCACAGTGGTGCCTTGGAGCGTCCCAGCCAGGGCTCACTGTAGCATGGCCAACCCACGAGCCCCACAACTGCCCGGATACTGGCAGCAAAGCAGGAAGGTGGGACAGCAGCCTACTGTCAGCTACCACAGTCCCATCCTCCTCCTGGAATTGGAGCCCTCTGACAGCAGCCAGCTATGAAGTTCTCCCACTCCTCAGCTCCGGGGCAAGCAGCTCAGCCCTCAGGGAAGGTTAATGCCTGTGCAGGTATTTTTCTGTAAGAAAAGAGCCTGGATAGTGAGGTGATCATCCCAGTTCTACACAAGTGCTATTCTATGTCATAAAGAAAGGTCCTGAATCTTCTCTCCTCATTTCTATTACATCAGTGGTGTTTCCCAGAGCCTGGCACCAGGGATCTGTTTGCTCTTTCTGCTCTCTGATCCTGCTTCTCCCCATATTTTCCTGTCATGCGCACTGAAAATGCCCCTTCCTGATATTAACCTATCCCACAGGCCACTAGAAGCTGCCATTAAAAACCAGTGTCAGATTCCAACCACCCCTTCCTTGAGACCCAATTCTGAAGCTGAGTTGTTGGCAGCAAGGTCTGTTCTGCCAGAGCCAGGAGCTGAGATGAGAAGGTTTCACAGAGACTCATAAAATACCCAGAAGAGATTTCATCAACCATTGGGAAATGCCAGCACTCAAGTTGTTCTTTTGATCCCACTGCCAGTAACTACAGAGCAGTGGTGGGGTGCTGTGGGGGCAGAACCCAGACAGCGGGGCCCTGGCAGGAGCTGGTTCTCTGTATGCAGGTGAGAGAAAGCAGACATCGGCCAGTGGGGAAAAGTCACTTATAACTCAGAAAATCACTGAGCGATTTGGGCCAGAAGGGACTTTTACAGATCATCTAGTCCAAGCCCATCATCCTCTTGACTTACTTTGCACTCAGGCATTTCAGCCTTTCCTTGGCTGCTCGGCAGTTTGGCAGCTGGCTCCTCCGCTGCTCTGCAGAGAGATGACAGGAGATGTGCATGCAGCAACTACCTCAGTCCGTGGAGAAGGAGTACCCACGACAAACGATTTCTGTTACCCTCACACACTACCTTGCACTCCTCTGCCTGGGGAGCCTGGCAGTGCTGTGCCCTGAAATTCCAATGCCCACGATATTGCCCAGAGGCTCATTGGCACTTAAGCTCCCTGACCCTCACAGCGTGGTGCTGCTCAACACCTCAGCTGTGCCAGGCTCAGTCAGTTTGCAGAGGGAAAGGGGAGATGCTGCCCATGACCCCCTTGCAGCTGTGTATCCTGCGGGCCTACACCCAGTGGTGGCCAAGACCTCTTCTAAGACAGGCAACAGGGAAAAATGAAGAGTATCGCAGCAGGGGGACAGAGGATACCTCTGACATCCCCAGTATGGCTGCGGCATTGGGGCAAGAGTCCAGCATCGCCCTGTCCCCAGGGCCCCCCACATTCCTAACACTGTCCCACCCTCACCCCCTATGTGTCCTGGGCTCCGAGGGCATCTCCAGCACCCCCAGCCCTTTGCCCTGAAAGGCTTCCACAAAGCCCCAAAAGCATCGCGGCCCCCCGACAAACCCCCAGCCCTCCCATACTGCCCTCCTCCCAGACCGCGTCCCTGGGCCCGTTTCGTGGGGTACCCCCTACGGGTTGCCGCACCCTCACCCCCCCTAACCACCCCAACCTCCTTCCCAAGGCCCCAGCAGCCCCTCAGGCCGCCCCTGTCTCTCTACCAAGAGGCCCCCACTGGCCTGTCTCTGGCCGCCCCCAGCCCAGCACCTCCCGCACTCCCATCCCACGGCACTCGCGGCCACCCCGCAGGGTCCCCGCGGAGTGTCCCCGTCCCAGAGGGTCCCCAGGTCGCAGGAGCCCAGAGCTCCGCTCCCCGTCACCCCCACAGGGCCCCGCACAGGGAGCGCCCGCAGCCCCCAG